TTGTATTCATTAAAACATCCATCCATCTGAATGCTATGAAGACTGACCAGCAGATGGAGAAAGTGGCATGTCAAAGATAACACTGGGTTAAAAACAACCCAATCTGGGTTGTTATTAACCCAAGGGCTGGGTAAGTAGGCCTATAGGACAGAACCCATCTTGGGTTAAATTTACCCAGCAAATTGGGTTGTTGATTTAACCCAGCTAATGGGTTTATTCATTTTTACTATATTACTAGCTTATTTTTTACTTCATACAGTAAATAATGTTTACAGATTAACTTAAATCCTCTAAACTTTTCTAAAATACTCCACACAACCACTGGTGAGCATGATAACGTCCTTTATTTTCCTGTATTCATCATTTACAGCATTGTTTATATCGTTTTTAATAGGCTATACATATTGCCTATATTTAAACTCGTTTAACAAACATTAGAAGAAAAATTCTACATTAAGCAGAAGTAATTCACGTGTGATCGACCAGTCTCTGTTATTCTGTTTCCACCGTAACGGCGCTGGTTCTCGTGCCCGAGCTGGAGTCGTGTTCGGCGGGGAACTGCTAACGGACCGCCGCCCTGTGTTTCACTCTAGCCGAAACATGCTGTGACTCCATAACCTGCCAATAAACAAACAATAAACAGCAGGTTTTTCACTGTAAATTATACATTCTTTTTCACTTCCAAAATTGTATTTTACCGTAAAATTACATGAAATGTCTATTACAGTTTTTCACGGTTTATAGTATGGGAACTTACCGTTAACCATTTAACAGGTTTTTACTGTAGCATTTTCACAGTTTTTTACCGTTAAAATCATGATCATTCTTTACAGTGTAATATATGGCATATATGGTGTCTCTTCTGCAATTTTATCAGCCACATCAGCAAAACAAAGAATTAACAATTAGCATGTGCATAGACGTCAGTCCAGTAATGAATACTGAACAGATATGCAAAGTTTTGTAAGTAAAAAAAAAAAATAATTAAAAAAAATAAACCCTAAGGCCATCCTTGCAGCGAGTCCCTGCATGCACATAGCCAAATCCTCCTTCACCTAGCTTGTAGCTGAATTCATAACGCCAGAAAATGTGGCCTATTAAAAAATTTTTTAATGCATTTTCTTCTCATATATTTATTATTCCTACTGTTGTCCAGTTCTTCTGCATTGTCATCTTCAGTGGAGCTAACGAGAGTTTGAGGTTGAGGGACATCCTTCTCCAGTTGTTCCTCAGAGACTGGAGCTTCTTTAGGATCATGGATCTCTATAATGTGCTGTAGAGGTGGCTAAATATCAATAATATGAATAAAATACTGCATATTAGAGTAGTGCTTCACGTAAGAGCACTTTTGAAAAATAAATAAATAAATGAACATCTCCAAAAAATTTTATCTTTTTTTTTTTTTTACTTACCACCTTTTAAAATATTTTAAAAGGTGTAAAGACACAAAGACTGTCTGTGATGCTCCTCTAATTCACTCTTTTGATGTCTAAATGTCTCTTTTCTATATTTTAGAAAGCATCTTGGTGTGAGTGCTCTGATATGAACAGCTGAATACAGCAGTGTCACCAAATTCAACAAGGCAACATGACAGGTTACCAAAATCCACAGTGATGTCTAATCTCCTCTATTTCATACTCTATAAGGCATTTTGCACAGATGTAAATTGCTGCAGATATACAGCTGGGTCCCCAAATCTGACGAAAGGCATTATTAAAAGTTACCAAAATCCATTACTCCACTCTATTTAACACAGAATGGCTTTAATGTTACCCAGTTCACTCTGGTGAGATCTAAACTCCTTAAGCATATTGCTCCAACGAGAACACACACAGATATAAAGCAGGGTCAAAGAAAGAAAGAAAGAAAGAAAATTGTGTGAGACTATACTGTAAAATTGTGATTTGAATACCTGAGAGAAATTTTAAAGTAAATCTAATGTTGTGGAAATTAAAACATTTCCAAAAATGTAAAAAGAAAAAGAAAAATCCAGTCGGCTAACGATTGGAAAAGGCATGGCAATTCACTGAAAAACATGTGAAAACCTTGTGTTCTGCTGTTTCCGCTGAGAAGAAAGTATTTTAATGTAAGAAAATTATACACAACAGCTTTAAATAAATGTCTAGTTGTCATTGGCATTTCGTAAACCCCACCACTAGAGGGCATTCTGGGATTTGTATTTGGCTACGTTCTCTGAAAAAGCTCCAGTACCGGAGTATTAAATGTGTCCAGTTTCATTGTTTTGTATAGTTTCCATGGATGATAAAAAAAATCATGGAACCACAGATGCCAATAAACTGATAACTGATATTTTAGGAGTGTAAAGTAATTTAAGTATTCCTAATTGTGAAAATAGTCTTTTTGCCTTGTAATTCAGCAGCAGACCCACCATGTATAATTCCCAGTTAGTTGAGTTTGCAGAGTCAATGGATCGTTTTGTGGTTGAATTTGAGCTGTTTTCTCCAACATCACGACCACTCAAATCACAGGTCTGGCATTTTGTCTCTAAAACAAACAAAATCTTGACCCAACCCGAATGAATTCTATTGTGCAGGTGCAAGCAAATGTGATACCTATACAGCCTATACTCTCAAAGCTTTACTACATTTGTTCCTCGGTCAATGGTGGAATGTTGGAGATTTATTCATATTTCAGGTCCTATTTGGTTCTCCAAGGTTACCTTTCTATCTTAAATGTATCTTTATTTCACTGAAGAGATGCCTTACTGACATTGACAAGAGTTGAATACTGAATTAAAAAGTACTTTAACAGATTTTTTTTATTAGCAGGCCTAAAATGGACAACAGATCTCCCTTGCCTGGTGCACTGCTCTGTGCTTAAATTCACAGATCAAAGTGAGGGCTCTCATTGTTCAGCTCACACTACAGCCACAATGTCACCATTCATGCATGCATGTCTTTTAAGCCAAAAGCCTCTCATAACCCAAAGCATTGCTGGGTAAGGAGAGGAGGGTGCATTTGCGCCCCAAACCCTGACCCGGTCAGATCTCTTTGATCGCGGAGCCTGTGTTCCTCGCAAGCATCCTTTGATGCAAAGTCTTAACCGACTCAAAGAAAGTACAGAGGAGAAGCTGTAGTAAAGTTATGTAATTTAATGTGATGATCTGCTTCTGAGGGTCAGAGGTCAAATTGAGGCACACTTTTTTAATACACTGAAAAACTGGAAGCCTTTGGTGGAAAAGATGATGCATATAGTGTATGATGATATATGATATAATTTGAAATCATAGAATCTGGTTGCAGGTGCTGTATAACTTAAAGCTCGAGGCTAAGATATTCCTAAAGTAAAAGTTTGTTCATCCCCTAAATATTTTTGGGGCTTGGCCTAAAAATGAAGCCCCTTGACCGGACAACTGATCTTTTCTCAGATGTTTGATGTGTTCCTAAGATGGGACTGTTGCACAATGTCTTTGGGACTTCCAAAGATGTCCAGAGTTCACCCTTATTTGGTAACTGCCCTTCTTTTGGAAGAGTGTACTCTTCTATTGCCCGTTTTAGTGCACAAACATTACCATTCAAAAGTTTGAGGTCAGCAAGGTTTTTTTTCCTCCTTTTTTTTGTAAGAAATTAATAGACTGACACATTGTTACAAAATATTTCTATTTCAATTAATGCTGTTCTTTTGAAATTTGTATGCATCAGAGGATCCTGAAAGTAGCATAACTGTTTTCAACATTGATAATAGTAAGAAATGTTTCTTTAGCAACAAATCAGCATATTAAAATGATTTCCAATGCATTATATGACAGAAAATGTCATGGTACTGTTTGGACCAACTTATATTCTAGAATCCAGTGGTTTAGGATCTTATTCCGAGCAACATTTCTGGAATTGTCAGCGGTGCCATATCAGTTGCTAGTCAACTCCACTTTCATGCTCTCCTCCTGTTCTTTGCACTTCTGAGATTTACCCTGGGGCTATTTTTCCTCCATCATTTCTCTGAGAGAATAAAGAATTACAAGGCAAGAGAAATAATTTGGATGTGGATCAAATAAATCCTAAGCAAAAATTTTTTGTAAGACTGGAATCAAATCATTTACTCCCTATACGCATCAGTCAATCCCCTGATTCGCTCCCATTCAACTACAGTCAAACTAACTATAAGAGTTTTTTAAACAAGGTTTTATGTTATTAAAGAACAGCATTCAAAGTTCTTCTGCATCCAAATTCAGAAATAAATGCTGTCACACAATTAAGGCAGTTAACTGTGTGTACCGACCTCTTATAATACACATGACTTGTTTAAATGAATTAGCAAGAATCTAGAATGCATTATATGACAGAAAATGTCATGGTACTGTTTGGACCAACTTATATTCTAGAATCCAGTGGTTTAGGATCTTATTCCGAGCAACATTTCTGGAATTGTCAGCGGTGCCTTATCAGTTGCTAGTCAACTCCACTTTCATGCTCTCCTCCTGTTCTTTGCACTTCTGAGATTTACCCTGGGGCTATTTTTCCTCCATAATTTCTCTGAGAGAATAAAGAATTACAAGGCAAGAGAAATAATTTGGATGTGGATCAAATAAATCCTAAGCAAAAATTTTTTGTAAGACTGGAATCAAATCATTTACTCCCTATACGCATCAGTCAATCCCCTGATTCGCTCCCATTCAACTACAGTCAAACTAACTATAAGTTTTTTAAACAAGGTTTTATGTTATTAAAGAACAGCATTCAAAGTTCTTCTGCATCCAAATTCAGAAATAAATGCTGTCACACAATTAAGGCAGTTAACTGTGTGTACCGACCTCTTATAATACACATGACTTGTTTAAATGAATTAGCAAGAATCTATCTGCATTATGATAAGATCATGCTGATATTATTTATTACTTTTTGCTACTGCATTTTAATGAATATGCACACCTTTTCCACTCTTATTTCTTAAATTCAACTACATAGATTTTGTAACAATATCTAGCAGATGAATAAGAGACAAAACAAACCCAGTGTTAAAACAGAAATGAAGATGCTGTATTGAAAATGTACAAAAGCTATACATATGTCGAGTTCTGCAAATGGCATCACAAAATAACAAAGAACTCCGAGAGTTCAGACCTTCAAAATCGCTCCGTCCTTGGTGGAAATTTCTTGTAACAGTACTAAATCAAAGGCAGAAGTCATTTTAGTATGCGCATGTGGTTCATCACAAGCTCAAGACGGTGATGAACCTGTTAATTGGGATGTGATCTCTGCTGAGAGCACACAGAGTACTTGCATATTCCTTTAAAGGCATCTCAAAGGACGCACGGGTTGACAGGCCTCCGCAGACTGAAGCTCAGAGACGTAATGCTGTCCTTCACCATCACACAGCCGGATCAGATGCAACTACAGAGATCTGTAACTCCTGGAGCGTGCTTCAAGGGAATCCGTCAATATAGATAAAATTGACCATCTTTGAGGAATTCAGCTGAAATTCATTTTCCAATTTCCACCAGTTTTTTTTATAATACCCCACAGAAGTGACAAGGGGGTACATCAGAGCACTGTGAACACTGAACAAGCTTGTGCAGTTAATATGCATTACACATAATTTAAAGCATGAAGGATATGGAATAACTATAAACAAAACAGAGCAAAATGCAATAAAAATATCCATAAATCTATTAGTATAGCTACATACCAGATTACATAAAATTATATGAGTTTAAAAACGTACTTATGTTCTTTTAAGTGAGGCACTTAGTGAATTTCAGTGCACTGTTGAGAAAGGGGAAAATCAGACTTATACAAGCCCAATAACCATTACCCTGATGTACACTAATATGCATTAACAAACAAACTTACATTGAACATATGGCTTGTGAAACATGTCATTTTGAGGTCTTTGCCAGCCTAGTTGCATACAACAGTTGTTAGCAAATGTCTGATAATGTAATTGACTGTTCACCTGAAATGCTGCAAGTTTAACTCGTCAGAAAATATTTCAGTGCCTTTGCTCATGAAAATAATGCATAAACATGTTTTTCCTCCCCTTAGAGCATGAATTAGTGTTCTTAAACAGTTCCTTGTATTCTGTTTCATTTAATTGTTCAATGTATTTTCATTAAAAAGCAACCCACCCCTGATTAACTTCTTTAATTCTCAAGCCATCATGTTTAAGAATTTGCTTTCCTCTGCAAGGGCTGTTAACATTGAGCTCATGTCACCAATGGCCATGTTGCCAATACCTGCTGGTATCGAGGCTAGCGTAACAGAGTTACGTGGGGTGGTGAGCCGTGAAGAATTCTGCGAAAGACTCTGCAGAAGGCCCGGACTTAATGTGCCAGACATTAGGCTCGAATGGTCTCCGTCATCCAAAATGGCATCAAAGTCTATTTGAGTGTGCTCGAGGGTTTGAGTGGAGTCCACTGTGCTGGTGACCTGGTTAACCCCAGGAGACACCATTGTAGACACTGAAGCAACTGGGGCTTGGTTTGTGCATGGAGACACGGGAGAACCATAATTCACGCTACTGTCCAACATATGGATCTCTCCTGAATAGTACATAGTGCCATTCCCATTGCTGTGTTGACCGAAGTCACCTGGTCTCTTTGGGCTAGCTTCTGAGGAGTTGACGTTGGACAGGGAGCAACCATTTTGCTGAATCATACCTGAACCTGAGTGTTGTCTATTTAAAGGTTTGGGCTCGGACGGAGGTCTGGGCTGTATCAGTCCTCTGCCTGCATTTTGAACGGCTGTCTGAGTAAGAGGGACGTAATTTTGCTGGTTAACGTTGATCATATGTGAAAAGTTGGATCTGTAATTCTGCATCTCCTGGTTTTGCATCCCTCTCCCATTGGGTGGACCCATGCCGTTGCATGTTAGGCGGTGACTGGAGTTGTAACTGAGGTCCTGCCGATATCCCGGTTGAGAGTTTACTTGCACGCCGAGATTCTGACACTGATTGTTAACAGATTGCCGATACTGCTGGACAGAGTTCATCCTTTGGGTGGCCCTCTGTGGATAACCCTGTTGCAGGCTAGCCAGATTCTGGCTCATTGGTACAACCTGCTGATTAGTACCAAATCCTTGGTAAGAGCCAAAGTTCTGCTTCTGCTGAACCACTGTCAAGTTCCCTCGGAGTTGTTGCTGCTTTGGAAGCCTTGCAGTTGTATCCACAGAACCAGAACTGACCTCATTCCATTGCACTGGCATGTTGTTCTTGTTCATGCTTTGCGGATTGGTCATTTGCTCTGGACCTGAGCAAACAGGCTCTACCTGGCTTCCGTTGTTGTTTGCCATGCCCATTCGCCGCTGTCCGTAGAACTGTTGTTGGGAGATCATATTACAATGGAAGTTTAGTGCATGACCACCATTGACAGAAATCCCTGGGTCCTGATTTGAGCTACCATTCTGGGAGTTGAGGTACTGTACCATGTCATCTGGTAGCACCATATCATCTTCTTGTTGATCACCTCCATCAGTGGCCATATTCTCCATTAAAATGTTCTCTGAAATACTAGGTGGCCTCTGGCTAAAGGAATGACGATGCAAGCTGCCATCAGACCAGGTGTTGCTCTGCAAGTTGAAAGAACGGCGATCTATGGCAGGCAAACGTGACAGGGTCATGTTGCTGATGCTGTTGAATCGCTGAACCCTCGGCAAGGAGAGCGGGTCGATAGCTGTACGACGAACAGGATCGCTTGCTCGTCGTGGAAGATTGGCTGGAACTTCATGGGGCATCATGCCAGGGGCACCGTAGCCAGTGTCACTGCAGCGTCTTGAGTTGACTACACCTTGGGAATGGTGCAAATGTGCTGAACTTTCCTGCGAGTCATTGTACATGGCCATTCTAGTTCTAAGACTCATGCGATCCATGTTGGGCAGAGGTGTTGGTGGCGCATCCCCTGTGGCTGCGGCGTATTTCGCTTTGAGACGGTAGTGTTGAGCCGGCGTGAGACTTAGTAAACTTGTGAGTCCACCTACACCACCACATTGGCTAGCTTCGCTGGAACGGCGCGACAGATCTGTGGAGATGGGGTCATAGGAGTCTGCTGAGCTGGCGTTGTTGTTGCGGACACCAAATTGCGAAGCTTCGCTAGAGCGACGACTGGAGTAGCAGGGTGAAATACCGGAGGACCGACGACTTAACGTGTATGCTGAGCTCATTGTACTGGTGGAGCTGTCTCTGCGCTCTTGCAGCTGATTTAGCATTGTCATCTCATACGAAGACAAGTCTCCTAAACGTTGGGTTTGAGGTCCAGGCATCTGACTGCCCATATTTGGAGTCTCCAGCAGTGAGTCTAAAGAACAGATTTATGAGAGTAATGTTATTTTCTCAAAATGCACAATGTGGGAACAAAGTAATAAACCCATTTTTGGCTGCAGTACTCACCAATAGAGGGTATTGGAGGCAGCTTGGTATTTCGGACTTGAGGTGATGCATTCGCCCAGGAGCAGGGGTCTCTTACAGTTTTTAGTTTTTCCTTCTTGATGTTCTCAAGATGTAGTAGTCCTCCCCCGTTTTTACGCAACTGGAGACCAACTCCTGCAGAAGTACCTGGAGAACCGGTAGAATCTACTACAGGCGCGTCATCTAAAGCACTCAGGTCCCCCAAACTGCCTCCACTGTGCATGGCCATCTCTACTCCACTGTCATTGTTGGTGGCACTGCCAAGTGGTGACGGCTCACTGCTACATGATGACTGACCACCAGGGCTGGACTGATACATCTACAATGAAACAGTAATGAGGAAAGATCAGTTCCACTGATATTTTTGTCATAGAATCTCAGTAATCTCGGTTTGTGGAATTAAATAAGCTATTCTAAATAGGAATTGTTCTACTGATAGTCTGCAGGAAAATGAATTGATTTTTTTATTACAGATTTGGACAGCACAACTATACCAAACATAATTGAAGTTGGGTTTTGAAAAAGTATTGATATTGCCATGCATAAAAAGACATTGCTGCAGTGCTTACCTCAGTACAGTCTGTCCATTATTTTCAAAGAGAAGCAAGTTAGTTAAGAGGAAAGGAGAGGGTTAGTATATTAGATGAGGCAATGGTTAGTACATTAGTCTGATCTCTGCATTAAGAGCATTTCACACCGTACATGATAAACAGCAAGATCTGAACATGCTGTATCTCTGCATGAGGTGATTACTGTAAATACTGCATATCTTACATGCAAAACGCTAATATCTAAAATAAGTCAACAAAAGTAAGTAGTTATGGCATTTATTCCTTCATAAAATAGGTTAGACACCATCTTGAACAGATGTATGGACCAGCAACAACAGGATTTTTTTCTCTTCCATGTTGTTTTTTGACCACATAAATTCAATGACACACCACTTTCAGCTTTTCTTTATCTTGTGCTGCCTCTCTCCCAATGAAAAAAACCTGCGAACTTGTGGTTACTGTACACTGTAAAACTGCTTTTAGTCAAAAACTTTAACAGAACATCTCATCAGCGGTGTAATAATTTATTAAGAACAAAACACTATTCTTACCACTGTGTTTTCCGTCTTGATAGATTTGACATGCTGGCAATCCTCCACTCCTCGGGTGGTGCTGTTGGCTTCCCCTGACACATCTGTTTTTCCCCTTGCATGCTTTGTGTGTGCCTCATTTTCTCCATTCCCTTTAGGAGGGTGAGGTTTAGGTGGTGCATCAGCACGCTGCTTCTTAGTGACATGTGCTTCTGGACCATGAACGGTCTTCACATGTTTCCTGAGAGAACTGGGGTCTGTATAGCGTTTTGTGCAACCTGGGATCTTGCACACATATGGTTTCTGCAAAGGAGTGACAGATAGCTTTCAGAGTGCAATCAAATCTGACTTAAATCAAATCTCTTGGTCTTAGTCTTGAGATGGGAAACAAAATGCACATAATGAAATGGATGTTGAAAGCTCGAACCTCATTCGAGTGCGTGCGGTTCTGGTGCTTGGCTCGGTCTGAAGCGTTGGAAAATGCCTTGTTACAACCCTCATGCTCACATACATAAGGTTTCTCCCCTGTGTGAGACCTCAAGTGAGTTTTGAGGTTTTCCAGTCGCGAGTAAGCCTTCGAGCAACCTTCAAACTTGACAGAGAGAGTGAGAGAAAGAGAAAAGCAAGCCATTGCATCAGCCATCATCAATCTGAACCTAAAATCAAACAACTTAATGAGTGAATCTCATAAAACCTGTCAAGAACACTTATGGGTGATATTTCATCCCTACTTTAAAGGTAAGATACACAATTATATTTTACCTTAAAGACAATGGAACCTTTTTTGGGACCATTAAAATAGTTGGCAATATTTTCATGACAACAAAGCATATTTTCTACTCGATTCTCATTACCATAATGAAAAAATACTTCTGCTTATAGGGCAAAGTTTTTCCTGGACATATTTTTCAGAGAAAATACTTTTTTTTTGCTTGTTCAGACCATGTCATTATCAATTATTATGATCAATCTTCTGTGTTGTGGAATCCTTTGCTTTCTTATTCATAAAAGTTTAGCTTCTGCATTAATAATAAGCCACTGGTGTAAAAAGAGATCACATTAGATAAGCAAAAAGAGCTTATTAAAGTCATAGGTGCCTTTTCTTGTATCTTATAGGTCTTGTATATGTATACTGAAGGTGTGTGGAAACTTCACTAAAATGTAATAAAGACCCATGGCGCCTTCCTCTCCTCAGACTTTAATTATGTCTTCATCCTGTCAATCAGCACGCTCAGAAGTTCACTTTTTAATAGGATCTCAAGCAACTAAAATTGATGTTGAGGCTAAAAATGCAAGACAGCAGATCAGTGTGCCTTCATCATTTACTTAGGAGAGTAAAAGTAGCCGAGATGTTAAATGTGTCCTGTTTAAAATCAGGTGTTCTGTTGAAATAAGCCTATTTCTGTACAGCAATCGTTTGCTCTACTTGTGGGTACAGAAATAGTTGTGTTTATTCTTGCAATTAAAGGTACAGTAGGTACAGGTTTTAAATAGGGAGGGGTGAGGTAAAACATGCATTTTAGAATGAAATGAAGGTCTGATGAGCAGTGTCAATCACTTACTGTGCACTTATGGGGCTTCTCTCCAGTGTGTCGGCGCATGTGGACAACTAGCATGTACTGGGCCTTGAAAGGCTTCTGTTCTCGTGAGCACTCCTCCCATCGACACACAAACTCCTTCTTCTCCCCATGGATGTGGTCATTATTGATATGCTACAGGTAGAGAAAAGTGACAATATGAAATAAACAACTGTCATAATTCTTTAATTCTTCACCCATCATGCAATGAAAGTCCAATACAGTTTTGGTAATATTTTTACTTTTTTTTGAGAGAGAGACAGATAAATACTTACCAAGGCCGCATTTATTTGATCAATAATACAGTAAAAACAAATATTGTGAAATGTTATTGCAATTTAAAATGACTCTTTTCTATTTTAGTATATGTTAAAATTTTATTTATTTCTGTAATTGCAAGGCTGAATTTTCAGCAGGCATTACTCCAGTCTTCAGTGTCACACGATCCTTCAGAAATCATTCTAATGTGCTGATTTGGTATTTCTCATTATCAATGTTAAAACTGTGCTGATTAATATTTTTGGACAGACCATGATGCATTTAGTCATGATTCCTTGACGGTTTGAAAGTTCAAAAGCACAGCATATATTTGAAATAAATGTATTATTATTATTATTATTTTTTTTAAATATTCCTGACCCCAAACGTTTGAATGGTGTGTGTATATATATATATATATATATATATATATATACTGTACATATAACATTATACAAAAAATAATATAATAAATAACTGTATTCTGTGTACATTGAAAGGGAAGAACTCATGAAATAAAATCAAACACCATGCCATTATTTGGTTCTTGGGGTATATAATTTAGACTGCTAGCAGAGAGCACAGACTATAGCCTGAGGACTAAGAAGGGTGTGTAGGGAGGAAGTCCGGGCCCTCAATGTTGGTCTGGTCTCTAAACATCCCTTTGTTTCCACTACTGATTCTTCTTTCTTGTCTTCTCTGGCTGTAATTATACCTTACACTCGGTCTCGCTTTCCAAAACCATTTTATCAGGTTTCTCAGAAATCTGACTAATGACGGACAGCAATCTTGTAATCCCCAACAACAATTCACTTGCAACTACTTAAGACCATATGTTTGTTTGTGCTTTCAATTTTTGTCTAGTGTGGGTTTTAAAACATAAAACACATGCTAGACTCAGCTTAGACTGGTTTGGGCTTGTTCTGGAATTGGAGAATGGCAGGAGCCCAATCCACTGATCCATAACCCCAAAAGATTCCCAAGCTCCAGGTCCAGGTCTCATGAGGAGCCAGACTGGCTCGGCATGTTCCTGTCAGGGCAGTGAGTCTGACTCTGGGCCCAAGTGTATCTGTCACATTGTGGCTCGCAGATTGTTAATAACACCTAGCAGAGCGGCTGAGGTGTCAGAGGTGGAGAGGGCCACTCCAGAGCTGCTGGCATGACGGCGGATTTACTGCATGGCCTCAGGGAAGGTAAAAGGTCAGAGGGTGCACAGAGACGGGAGCCATACATATGAGAGTATATGTGCTCAAGTGAACACGTTCAGCACCTCTGCGGGTATCAACATGCTCATTAACCCTACGCGTGTCAGTGACAGGAAAGGATCAGTTACAAGTCTGGCTAAAGTTGACGATGAGAAACTTGTCCAACATGTGCAGTGTTTCTAATTATTTACAGTTGTTTCTGCTTTAAAAAGGCAGGGAAGCTGTTTGCAATTGGTGTTTGTTTCGGTTTAGTCACAATGACTGTTTCAAGACAATAGCAGTTCTAAAACCTTGTGAGCTGCCTAGCTAGACAGCATTTAAGGGCGTCACATGCACACCCCCAACACAAAGGCTCTTTCCCAAGAAAATAATTAATTAAGATGCTTTCTAATATTATTATAAAATAGATGCACTATTTAGTCCAAAATAAAAAAAAAAGCTATCTCAAACTGAGCTCCCCTACCTAAGGGAATAAATATAATCGGTAACACTTTATTTTAAGGTCTCTTAACTAGTTGCTTATTAGCATGCATATTACTAGAATATTAGCCATTTATTAGTAGTAATTAAGCACATATTAATGCCTTATTCTACATGACCTTATTCTACATCCCTAATCCTACAATTAGGAATTTATTGAGGGAAAAGTCATAGTCAATGTAGAATAAGTGTTTCCTATTCTAAAGTGTTACCAAATAATAATCTAAGCTAAAAGACAAGGTGACACGTTATCTGTAAAAATACAAATTTCTGATTCAATACTAACATTTTTGTTAAAACATCTAAATCTAATGAATAAAAATACTTTAATACACTATTTGTTTGTGGTATGTATTTTATGTCAAGTTTGGTGTAAGTACGATTGTTTTAAAGCAATTGATACTCGAATTAAGCAAGAATGCATTAAACCGATCAAAAATGACACTACAGGATCATGTGACACTGAAGTTTGGAAAATTAGATATGTATGTATGTCACTCGGGTCAAAGGCTAAGCATTAACGCTAACCTGTACTTACTAACTAAGCCACTCTCGTGGTTGAAAAAAAACATTCTTTTGTTAATTTGTTTGTTCTCTTAGTGTAAATAAGAGAAAAAGTACTGTATGTTGGTTTTCTGGTCGTAGTGGTTACCACATTAAGCTAAGTTTTAGATGGTGATTTTAGATGATGCAGACATAAAAATAAGCGCTGTAGAGTAATACTTTTATGGGAAAGCGAATTTTACGTCATGATAAATACTATTGATAACAGAATCATGAATATTTTATTGGCCTTTGCACAGTGCATGCAATAAACTTTAGTAGACTACAGCTTGCCCATGTTAATTGTGCTCTGCTGCTTCAGTACAGTACGTTACGTGACTGCCCTTACTGATCATGTCTTTCCTGTGTTAGAGCATTCCCTGTGGTCCTGTGTGCCACACCGTGGTCACATGTGATCCTTTCCCTCTGAGCGCGCATTTTCAATGGCCACATCTGTATATATAGCTGGGTCTTTATGAAGTTATGACAGATGCCCACCTCATAACTCAGACTTCTGTTATTTTAGTATTATTTATATACTATTTCAGCATTTATTAATATTTTGTATACTTAGCTTTTATTTTTATATTTTCCATTTTTAATATTTCTATTTAGCGTTAATTCATTTTAAATTCTATTTGAGTAATTTTAGTACAAATTTATCTTGGTTATTTGCCAATTAGTTTAAATTTACATTTATTTTTTTTATATTTAATTTAGTTAATCATTTTAAAATCTGATTTAATTTCAATCAACAAAATGTATAATATACTGAACAACAACAACACTGGTCAGAAATGCAATGTTATCTCAATGATTTATTGAAAGAAAACTGACTCAAATAACAATTTGTTCATGGAGATTTTCAGTGAACAACAACTTAAATGTAGGTGTCCATCAAAGAATACTTCAGAATGACCATGGCACTCTTGTGAATTAAAAAGCCTTTATTAGCAAATGGCTACATCCAAGAAATCTAAAAACTTTTCCTAAAGTTTTTTTAAAGAGTTTTTAGATTTATTGGATGTAGCCATTTGCTAATAAAGGCTTTTTAATTCACAAGAGTGCCATGGTCATTCTGAAGTATTCTTTGATGGACTGTTATAAACCCTAGACCAGACAGCACCTTGACCTTACAGCACCAGAACCCCGAGACACACTCTCTACTATTGGACTATAGCTACATACATAGCTATCATTTGGCTTCAAATGACTTGAGGAATAGAGTAAAAATCGTATAGACCATTTCTACGACACTTTAATGGTTCTTTCGAGTCCATTTTGAAGCTTAAAAACCTTAATGTGACCTAAAGTGACAGTAGATAAGATTCCACAAACCTGAGAACCAGGTGAGATGGGGTGGGGTCCATCTGCTTCAATCTTCACCTTTGACCTCTTGAAGATCAAAGGGTTGACCGTGCTGCTGACAGCCGGGTCTCCACCAGCATTCTACAAGAGAACAAGGGAAGAGACATTGGAGCCACCATGTCGATGGTTTGGCTGCTGGCATGAGTGGTGATTTCACGCCTACAAAGGCACCATGCTCCAGATGCCATATTTCACAAAGCAACTCGCCGCAGAGACTAAACAGTTTAGACTGCACTATGAGCATCTGTCAGATGGAAATATGAAAAGGAAGAAATTATTATGCCCAGAGAGCAGCTACAGACTTTGATCCTCAGATGGATTCATAATTCAACAGACAGTCTCTCTCAACACGCAGGCTCTGCGTTGAAGTGGTGCCTTTCCTCCCAACCACTACAGTATGGCAGAGGCCCATGTTTTCTATAACTCAATAACCCTGACATGGTTTGCTCAAAAGTGTGGGAAATGTGTTTCTCATAACTATAGTGCGTGTGTGTGTTTTGGAGATCAGCAATAAAGCCGGAATGAAAACTGATTTGGAGAGTGTCTGGACCGACTGAGAGTAGGTCAGAGGAAGTTTATATTCTGGATGGCCACTCTGTTTACATGGAAGTGACAGCAGCTCTTGGTCGATGAGCATTACACAGAGTTGGGGAAAAATGGGGATGAATGAAAAGATCAGTTCAGATTAGCATGAATTTTTAGGTTTGTTTATGTTGGTTAGTGCTGTTGGAACACTATATCCATGCTATCCATCTTTGCCACCATTTAACACTTATTCTTAAAAAAAGCTGAAAATGTCAACATGAATACAGTATTTAATTTTTTATTTATTTTGAAAAACTAGTATAAAATTATCATTTTGGCAATTATTGGTTATTGGCCATAACATGAAAATAATAAGTCTAGCTGTATCAGAAAGAATTACTATTTATTCACACATCCTTAAACATTATACAATACTGTTCAAATGTATGTGGATGGTACGTTTATTTAAATGTTTTTGAAAGGTGTTTCTTATGTTCACCAAGGTTGCATTTATTTGATCAAAAATAGAGTCAAAACAGTAATATTGTGAAATTATTCAAATTTGAAATAACTGTTTTCTATGTTAATATATTTTAAAATGTCATTTATTGCTGTGATGGCAAAGTTGAATTTTACTCCAGTTTTAAAGGTCACATGATCCTTCAGAAATCATTCTAATATGCTGATTTGCTGCTCAAGAAATGTTTAGATTATTATTATTATTAATAACAATTACTATTATCAATGTTGAAAACAGTTGTGCTGCTTAATATTGTAGTGAAACAATATGCATGTTCAACTTCTTCGCATGATTACTGCCTCTTTTAATCAATTTAATGCATACTTGCTAAAATTTCCATAAAACAAACAAACTTAATAAACTATATTATACAATTTCCAGGTTTCTCAATACCTTAGGAACCTTGAGTCTAGATGTATATGTATAGAAACCATAAATCTCTGTAAAATCACCTGGCTGGACTCTGTGTTTGTGTCGGTGCTGTTGTTGTTGGTCAGAGCAGCTGCTGCCACCAGTGTCTGCCTGGTGCTGAGGGACGGAGAAGGCTGTAGGAGAGGGGGAGTGTGTCCAAACGCATTTAGACCTCTCTGTTGGGACAGCAGCTGGTGGTATGCAACCGGTGTGATAGGATGTGGGAACGTAAAGGAGGGACTGAGACGTGAAGAAGGAAAAAAGTCACATTTTGTGTTAGTTCAAACAATGGGCAACCTGCAAAAACATTTACAAGAAAAATCAACACAGATGGGCATTCCTGTACCTGATGGCCCCAACGGAGAGGTGGCCGTAAGAGCTGCTGGCAGCCGAGCTGGAGCGGGAGTTATTGATGTAGGCCACCAGAGAGTTGGGCGAGGTGCGGATCATGGTCTGCAGGTCGATGCTGGCATCCGAGACTGGAGAGATGGACAGCGCTCGCTTCCTGCTCAACCTCGGCGTCAGTCTGGGACTGGGGAAACGGGACACTGCAGAGAAAAGACACTTTTTTCACTCTCACCTTAAAGAGATCTGTGTGGGACATTCAATTCTCTTTATCTCCAGCACCACTACTATGCTGCCTTGCATACAAATCACTATGAATAATTTATCAGTTTATCATACCAATCTCAGCCAATGGGTTGTTCAGCAGAATGCCAAACAGATACTGTTTAACAACACTGATCTGAAAGTAAAATAAGGCAAATAAGCAAGCAAATAAAGTGTGGAATGCTGAAAAGATGCTTTAGCAATGGCTTTTCTCTGGTAATTATATATATAAAGTTTATTAAAGACCCAAGAATAATAATATTAATGCTTTTGTTCACCAAGGCTGCATTTATTTACTAAGAAATACAGAAAAAAACTGTGATATTTATGTATATACAGTATATATATATATATATATAGAGTTCACAACCACTTGAAATAAAAGTGAAGAGTTTCAAGTTCAATGTTCTATGCAGATATTTATATATATATAATTTATTGAAACTAAATTACAAATCATCACAACCGTATCCCACATATATATCCCACCTGGTAATTTTAGGGGAAAAAATGACTAAATTACCTCAAAAATACCACATTGTGACATTTTGGAGGTAGAAATCTTGACTAACCTTTTAAAGAGAAATATAAAATTTCCAAAAAATGTATAAACTGTAGAATTGATCTTTTACATTTCAGTTTCAAGTGAGTGTCTATCCAAAGGCCGTGTTTCCATGTACACGTGCCCAGCGCTGTAGTAAACAGGTGCTGTGCATTAGGCCTAGTGTAAGAGGACAGAGAACAGCATTCGGGCAAGGAGGCTTTTTGC